AGAGCAAGGAACAGAGCAGAGGGACGCCTCGAATATAGTATCGTGAAAAAGGAGGAGGGCTCGGGTGAGAGGCAGATCAGCAAAGTCGGAAAGAGTGGTGTGTAGGGTGAATAGATTCCAGTCAGCCTTGTCAAACAGCCACCTAGGGAAGGAGAGGCGTGGGTGGGTAAAAAGAGGTAACAAGAATGTGAAAAATGGTCACAATTATGGAGGTCATCAAGAACCCGCCATGTGAAATCTAAATAACGAGAAGACGAACAGAGAAAAAATCAATACAAGAAAGGGTGCAAGTGCACAAGTCAACATGAGTGGGTTCACCAGAATTCAGAAGAAATAAAGAAGTGAGAACATATGGTACACGAAGGCGGCCCCGAGTGTTTGTCAGAATATCGCCCCAGAGGTTATGCTCACAGTTAAAATCACCCAAAAAGAGCACAGGATTCGATAAAGTCCAACAGATGTGTAAGATCAGGAAAAGAAAGCAGGACATTTGGGGGGAGAAAAATGTTACAGATTGTGTACTATTTAATTACAAAGATACAAGCAGCAAAGGAATGAATGTGCGACTGAAAAATAGTGGGACAAAGGGAATATCATTACGGATGAAGAGAGCAGTAGAGTTAAGACCCCAAGCAAAAGCTGGAGTGGAAGAGAGAAAGGAATATAAGCTGAAGCTACCAGGATGAGTGCAAAGCATCTGTTCCTAGAGACAAACACAAAGCGGTGAAAACTGAGAGATCAGAAGTTGGAATTCATGGAAGTTAGCATAAAAAACACTAATATTTCCTTGAAAAATAGATATAGTTAAAAACAGAGATAATAAGAAGAAATGGAATGAAAAAACGAATTCAAGGATGAACAAAGGATACTAGGGAGGATAAAACTCAGGTTCAGTGCAATCAGGGTGGAGGGGCAGAGGTAAATGAAGCAAAGACGATTGAGTTGAGATGGCAGAGGGAGGGGACAAAGGCAGGCTGACAGAATCTGGGTTGGGAGGAGGTCTTGGAGGTAGATGTTCAAGGGAATGGGGAAGGATAGACACAGTGGAGTGCACTGATCAAAGGCAGCGAGAGTGGACAATACAAAGACGACCAGGAGGAGGATGGACATCGACAAGGTATCGTGGAGGGCTAAAAGACAGAAGGGGGTGGGGAGTTGAAATGAAAGATGGGGTTGGGAAGGGAAGTCCACATAGGACAGAGAAGAAGGAGGTGGTGAGGTTACACTGAACTGAACGGCAGAAGACTGAGGGAAGGAGAAGGATAGAAACTCCAGGAAGATCCTCAAGGTCAGAATGGAGAGAGCAGAAGACAGAGAGCTCATGAAGATATTGGGGTCTATGGCCTGGAAACGGTTGTGGAATTGAAAAAGGGGTGAAAGGTGTGAACAAGTCTGATGCAATATACAAGCATAAGTCATGTCGGAGAAAAAGTTAAGGCATGGAACCTGGCATCTTGGCTCAGTAAAAGGTATCTGAGCACACTGTTTTTAATTGATAATGGCTTCCCTCAAATTTGTGGTGTATGCATGAGTGAGAGAAGGCAGGGTGGGTGTCACCGCAATTGATGCAGAGAGACTGGGAAGAGCATTCCATCATAGGATGACCTGGGATGCCACACAAGGGGCACAAGGACGCCTTGCTAGAGCATCACAAGAGACCATGTTCAAATTTCCATTATGGCAGAGGCAAGGAGAGGGTATGTAATCCTGAACATCCATCTGGCACCTGCAAGAATAACGGAGGACTGAAAGGACCTGCCATCAAAAGTGGTTTTGACTATCCGAAGAGGCTGACAACGACGGCCACGAGGGGTTGAATGAACGTAACGATCTGGAGGATAGAATGGCCTTGAGCCTCGATAATATATTTAATATCCTCGTGGAAGTCTCTTAGCTCTATTTCCAGTTGTAACATTGTGCAGGAGAATGACTGTGCCAACGCTGATATTTAACCAGGTATATAATGAGATCCGAACTGGGGTCTCACCACTGCAGAACAATGATGCCAAGCGGTCTGCGGCCTCTTGAGAAGGGGCTGCAACTACACATGTGCCAGTACGTGTGGGGTTAAAAGCGACATGGTTATCAACTGAATCAACAAGGTGTTTATGTATGTGTAAATCATCAAGACATACATGTCCAATCAATATGAGAAAGATAATAATAATTAGTCCACTTGGCAGGACCAAACAAATCTTTGAACGAAGATGAGTTTGGAGGAATCATGTGTGCGAGTTACGGTGCAGCAAGCTTCCCCAGTATGAGGGAAGTTAAAAGGCCCAGTTGTCACTACAAGAGATGGAGCCACTCCAGGTGATGAGGTGATTGCCACTGGGGAATCGGGACTCAACCCTACCACGGAAGTGGGAGGGGAGCAGAGAGTCAGTTGGGAGAGTCAAGAAAGGAGCCTGGGCTGGGTCCAATGCAGACTGGGCTTTGGGATCTGATTTTCCATCACCGGCAGACTCTGGGGCTTGGTCGCCCACTCCATAAGCCTGTGTATAAGAGATCAGTTCAGTGTCCATACAACATTAATTTCAAAAGTCTGGGTCTTGGAATATCCCCTACCAGGGCATCTAGGAAGACTGAGTGCTGGCCAGTGCAGGAAGATGTGCGTCATCCTCAGCAGTGCTTCCCCTTTTAAACTGGGGGAGTTTTAGTGCCTTGTACATTCTTCCACACAGGTGCAAAGATTTCATTCTCCCCTAAGCCCCAGCCTGGACACCCAACCATCCACCAAGGGCAGCTCCTCACGGGTGGTCCCTCTAGTGGGAGGTCCATTGACCCAAACATAATCCCTATGGGTATCTTAGCTAGTGCAACACCCGGAGAGGGGGGGGGCAAGGCAATCCTCACCTGCCCCAGGGAGTCATACGTGAGCCCTCTCATCATAACAAGGTGACACTCTGGAGGGGGCATCTAACCTAAGCTTGAAACCAACGATCCCATGTCTATTATATTAACGGGAAATTTGTTTAAAAAAGTCTTTCTCTATTTCCAAACCAGTATTTACCAAGGTCGTCCATGAATAAAAACCGATCCAATTTATATATTCATTGTTTCCTGTTTTGTGTTGTTATATTTAAAACTTTATTTATACACCCCTTGTTGTGCCCTTCCATCCATCCATGTACATGATACTGTCATGTCAATTCTTAGAATCATCTTATTTTTTAATATAAAAATCTCTCTTTATAAGCAAGGTTTCAAATTTCTGGGATTCAAGAATCAGAAAAATTTGAAACCTTCTTTACGCACGAAGACCAAACAAGAAGGTGATCTACATGGGGTTAACAAAGGCAAGATAAAGTTGAAGAAGAACAGTAGATGTGTTACTATTAACGCTTCTAAAAATATATTCGAGGATCATAGTTGCCTTATTCCCAACATTTATGCATTTATTTCTAGTCTTAAAATCTCTATTAATCATGACTCATACCTTTTTTGCATTCAAACTTAAGAAGCGAGTCATCCTATAACGATGTTTTCTTCTGAATACATTTCCTGCTCTATTATTAACCTAATAATTTTGAATGTCACATATAATATAAATATGGTCAACTGCAGACTGTACATGCAACATGCAATTTGCTGACGATAAGAAAATCAGGAGGGAAATAAACACGGAATAAGACTCTTTGGGATTCTTGAATCCTAGAAATTTGAAACCTTACTTATAAAGAGAGATTTTTACATTCAAAAGAAAGATGAAGCTGAGAGATGACACGACAGTATCTATACATAGAAGAAAGGGCACAACAAGAGTGGGGGGGATATAAGCTCCACTTACGAATCTTATTCCGTGTTTATTTCCCTCCTGATTTTCGTATCATCGGAAAATTTGTAAATATTGCTGCTCAAACCTTCAACACTTCAACAACAACACTGCCCAGACATTTCCAGACACGGAGTAGCCACCCTCAGAGAGGTGCCCTGTAGCCTCCCATGGTAGTCTTGGAGTCCTGATGGGGAGACGAGACTTCCCGAGCAGCCTAGCTAGGAACTCCCTTGGTTAGATATGGGTGTAATGTAATGTATTGTGTATGATACGTTTGTAAATGTCAGGGATACAGTTTCGGTTGTGTGGCATTTCAGATTTATGTCAGTGAATCATCTCAAGTTGGTAGTTTTGACTTGTAAATTCAAAATCACGAGAAATATATGACAATAACTAATGATGTTATAATCCTATCTTGAAATCTTATTAAGAATGTCAACAGTGACGTGGAACTCGGTGAATGGATTATGATTCAGATGTTATCAATAGTAGAGATAAGATGAAAAACACTCCATTATGTCTAAAGAAAATTGATAAAGGCAGTTTCTACCCCTTTATCCTATCCTTTGTCCTTCTCGTCATTCCATACACCCTTAATGCATATTCCCCCTTTACCCCATTATCCTCCTTTCCATCCCATTCACTCATTTCCCCATCATACATTTTATTCGTTACACAACTGATATCCTGTAACTATCATTACCTAGCCTCAGAATCTTACAATTGTTAGAAACAAACTGCATTTATCAATATTTCGACCATTTCAAAAGTCTATCTACAACCCGCAGATTGTGCATGCATCATACAGGTACGATTGGTTTCCGGTAGTACACTTGGGTTCGTTCTCGCCGCACACTCTAGAATTCCAGATTCGAATCCTGGGCAGGACAGAAATGTTTGGACACATTTTCTTTCATTCAATTTAGTAATCAGCTCCACCTACAACCTACTGACTATACATTCAACATGAATATCACCACCTACGGCAGGCAGACTATGCATTCAACACAGAATTGAACTCCTAAACCTGTATTACTTGCAGTCACCATTATATATAGTCAAACTATTTAACTACACCCGATTTATATAATACACTTAACATATATAAAATAATTCACGCCGGTGTCATTTGAAACCCTAATCATGAACAACTCTAAAAGAATAATGTTCTCAATAAAGGGAATGGATTAAGTGTAACTAAATAAAAGGAAAGAATACTTACAACAAATAACAGAGTAATCAATACGACCGCCTCCCACCACGCCGCAAGGAACACTGAGAGCCCGGCGACACGCCCCCTCAGTCGCCAGCAGTCGTCACCGCTTACATTTCTACTTATGTTTAGAATAATAATGATGATAGTAAAAACATATATATTTCAGTTTTCACTGTTTATATTCAGAAACCATAAAACGGTTACAATATAAATGGTCATGATGGCTACGCTTTCATTCCACATTCAATAATCGTCAGGTTGTTTATAATCTCCTTGCCAACACATTACTGCATGTACGGAAATAGTCTACAAACATGACCGCCATTACACATCCTACACATGTGACGACGTGGCACCTGTATCAACAACAACATAAACATACATTTGTGTTGCATTTAACTGCCACTTCTCATTGTATAACAACATTTCATTCAAATAATATTAATTCACATCATTTCAAACTATGACAAATTAGGAGTAATGTATAATTCAAAGATATTAAGGGTAAAAATACGTTGGTTAACAGAATGCTATGCGACACACCGCGATACCTTCCCTACGTCTACTATCTGCCACAGTATGCCAGGCAGCACACCCTGCCCATCTCTCTTTTGTCGATTGTCTGCCACAGTATGCTAGGTGCCATACCCTGCCCACCTCCATTGTCTTCCACAGTATGTCAGGTGCCACACCCTGCCCACCTTCCCTACGCCCACTGTCTACCACAGTATGACAGGCGGCACATCCTACCCACCTTGTCTAGGTCGACAGCATGCAAACTATGTCAGGCGGCAGAACCTATCCACTTCCACTTCGTCGACTATCTGCCAGAGTATGACAAGCGGCACACCCTGCCCACCTCCTCTAATTCGACTGTCTGCCACAGTATGCCAGAGGCCATACCCTGCCCACCTCCCCAACGTAGACTGTCTGACACAGTATGTCAGGTTACACAACCAGCCTAACTCCATTGCATTGGCTGTCTGCCACATTATGCCAGACTGCACACTCCTTCCCATCTTCTCTTCGTCGACTGTCTGCCACAGTATGCCAGGCAGCACACCCTGCATACATCGACTGTCTACCATAGAATGTCAAGTAGGACTCCCTGCCCACCTCCCGTACGTCGAGGGTCTGCCACCGTATGCCAGGTGGCACATCCTACCCTTCTTCCCTTCGTCGACTGTCTGCCACACTGTGTCAGGTGGCACGCTCTGCCCAACTCCCATACGTCGACTGTCTGCCACAGTATGCTAGTCGCCACAGCCTGCCCACCTTGTATACGTCGACTGTCTGCCACAGTATGCTAGTCGCCACAGCCTGCCTACCTTGTATACGTCGACTGTCTGCCACAGTATGCTAGTCGCTACTCCCAGACCACCTCCTCTTCGTCGACTGTCTGCCACAGTATGCCAGGGGGCACACCCTGCCCATCTCCCCAACGTCAACTGTCTGCTCCAGAATGCCTGGTGGTTCACCCTGCCGGCCTACCCCTACATCGACTGTCTGCCAAAGTATGTCAGGTAACTCATCCTGCCCGCCTCCCCTTTGTCGATTGTCTGCCACAGTTTGTCACATGGCTCATCCTTCCCTACCCCCCCCCCTACGTTCACTGTCTACCACAGTATGCAAGGTGGCACTCCCTCCCCACCTCCCCTACGCTGACTGTCTGCCACAGTATGCCAGACTGCACAGCCTTCCCACCTCTCCTTCGTCGACTGTCTGCCACAGTACCCAAAGCAGCACAAACTGCCCACCTCCCCTTTCTCCATTGTCTGCCACTGCATGCCAGTCGGCACACCCTGCCCACCTCCCCTACGTCGAATGTCTGCCACAGTATGCCAGGCGGAGCACCCTGCCCACCTCCCCTACATCGACTGTCTGCCACAGTATGCCAGGTTGCACACCCTGCACACCTCCCCTACGTCGAATGTCTGCCACATTATGCCAGGTAGCACACCTTGCCCAACTCCCTTATGTCGACTGTCTGCCACAGAATGTCAGGCTGCACACCCTTCCCACCTTCCATACATCGACTATCTGCCACAGTATTCCAAGCGGTACACACTGACCACCTCTCATACGTTGACTGTCTGCCACGATATGCTATGCGCCACACCCTGCCCACCTCCCCTTCGTCGACTATCTGCCACAGAATGTCAGGCTGCACACCCTACCCACCACCCCTACGTCAACTCTCTGTCACAGCATGCCTAGCAGCACACCCTGCTCACCTCCCAAATGTCGACTGTCTGCCACAGTATGCTAGGTGCCACACCCTGCCCACCTCCACTACGTCCATTGTCTTCCACAGTACGCCAGGCGCAACACCGTACCCACCTTCCCTACGCCCACTCTCTACCACAGTATGACAGGCGGCACATCCTACCCTCCTTGTCTAGGTCAACAGCATGCAAACTATGTCAGGCGGCAGAACCTATCCACTTCCACTTCGTCGACTATCTGCCAGAGTATGACAAGCGGCACACCCTGCCCACCTCCTCTAATTCGACTGTCTGCCACAGTATGCCAGAGGCCATACCCTGCCCACCTCCCCAACGTAGACTGTCTGACACAGTATGTCAGGTTACACAACCAGCCTAACTCCATTGCATTTGCTGTCTGCCACATTATGCCAGACTGCACACCCTGCCCATCTTCCCTTCGTCGACTGTCTGCCACAGTATGCCAGGCAGCACACCCTGCATACTTCGACTGTCTACCATAGAATGTCAAGTAGGATTCCCTGCCCACCTCCCGTACGTCGAGGGTCTGCCACCGTATGCCAGGTGGCACATCCTACCCTTCTTCCCTTCGTCGACTGTCTGCCACACTGTGTCAGGTGGCACGCTCTGCCCAACTCCCATACGTCGACTGTCTGCCACAGTATGCTAGTCGCTACTCCCAGACCACCTCCTCTTCGTCGGCTGTCTGCCGCAGTATGCCAGGCTGCACAACCTGGTCACTTCCTCTACGTCGACTGTCTGCCACAGTATGCTAAGCGCCACACCCTGCCGACCTCCCCTACGTCGACTGTCTGCCACAGTATGCTAGTCGCTACTCCCAGACCACCTCCTCTTCGTCGACTGTCTGCCACAGTATGCCAGGGGGCACACCCTGCCCATCTCCCCAACGTCAACTGTCTGCTCCATAATGCCTCGTGGTTCACCCTGCCCGCTTACCCTTACATCGACTGTCTGCCAAAGTATGTCAGGTAACTCACCCTGCCCGCCTCCCCTTTGTCGACTGTCTGCCACAGTTTGCAACGTGGCTCATCCTTCCCTACCCCCCCCCCTACGTTGACTGTCTGCCACAGTATGCAAGGTGGCACTCCCGCCCCACCTACCCTACGCTGACTGTCTGCCACAGTATGCCAGACTGCACACCCTGCCCACCTCCCCAACGTCGACTGTCTTCTACTGTATGTAAAGCGGCACACCCTACCCATCTTTACAACGTCCACTATCTGACACAGCATGCGAGGCAGCTCACCGTGCCCACCTCCCCTTCGTCGACTGTCTGCCACAGTATGTCAGGCTGCATACCATGCTCACCTTCACTACGTCGACTGTCTGCCACAGTATGACAGGCGGCACATCCTTCCTACCTTCCATACATCGACTATCTGCCAGAGTATTCCAAGCTGTACACCCTGACCACCTCTCATACGTCGTCTGTCTGCCACATTATGCCAAGCACCACGCCCTGTCCACCTCCTCTATGTCGAATGTCTGCCACGATATGCTAGGCGCCACACCCTGCCCACCTTCCCTTCGTCGACTGTCTGCCACAGTATGTCAAGCGGCACACCCTACTCACCTTCCCTACTTCGACTGTCTGCCACAGTATGCCATGCGCCACACCCTGTCTACCTCTCCTACGTCGACTGTCTGCCGCAGTATGCCAGGGGCCACACCCTGCCCACCTCCCCTACGTCGTCTGTGTGCCACAGTATGCCAGGTGGCTCACCCTACCCACCTCTCTTACGTCAACTGTCTGCCACAGTATGCCATTTGGCACAGTCTACCCACCTCTCTTACGTCGACTGTCTGCCACAATATGCCCGGTAGCACACCTGCCGATCTTCCTTACGTCGACTGTCTGCCCACATGACACCCTGCCCAATGTGATATTGTTAACAATATCACGAATAAATTACAAGAACAGTAGGAGTCTTAGAAAGAAAATAAAGATTTAAATGCTCTTTTTTCCACAGAAACAACAGATATTATTGCACTTACCAAAACATTGATGTATGCAGAAATCAGAGAACTATTAACTAAATATCAAATATACGGATTTAATATATTTCACACAGATATATTAGACAAGGTAGGGGAGTAGCCATATATGTTAGGGAAAATTTGGAATGCAGTCTCCAAGAGGGAATCAAACTGAGCCACACATAGGAACTATTTGGCTAGAATTAAACAAAAAAGCTGAAAATCTTATAATAGGAATTTTATTTGGGCCACCAAACTTAAACAGAATAGAAGCACACCATCTATGGGATGAATTATCTAGAGCATCAATGTCTAACAGTATTTGTGTCATGGGTGACTTTAATTTTAGTAGAATAAACTGGCTTAACAAAACAGGGAATAATGCAGCAGAAGATTTTACAGAATTAATACGAATGCTTCCTTAATTAAGAAACACATTAAGGAACTAATGCATGAATATAATATTTTAGACTTAGTTGTGGGGAAATATAATGGTGATTGATTTGATTGTTATTTTAAGGGATTGGATTTATTATTTCTAAGCAGACTGTATCTTAAGATTATTGTCACCAGTAAACTTCCCTTCACACATTTGGAGGGGGGTCATATTTTAATCTTACCATAATTATATGGTAGATATAATTACTTTTGAATTATAGATCACACATCTATATAAAGAACATTTAAAATGACTTCTGCTGTTTCAGTAGTGTTGACTGGTCATCACTCATCAGATACCATTGGACACGGGAACTCCAGTGATTATTGGCGTCTGGGTCGTCCTGGTCTGGCCAGTTCAGTTATATCTCATGTGGTCACACTCACCTGAAGATACCATACATCGTAATATCTGATGACTACATTTACAAATACAAATACTTACTTAATGTTAATACTTAATGTTTACTTAT